TTCTGGGATCAACAACTTATTTATATTAATACTAGCATCCAGACGGGCACTCGCGTGTCCGTCTGTCCGCTTTTTTAATGCACATAAAAATGTAAATAATATTTTTTGTTAAAACATATATTTTTTAAAATACAATATGTGGAAATTAATAATAAGAAGTTATGTGGAAGTTAATAATAATAAATTATGTGGAAGTTAATAGTAAGAAGTTATTACGTAAATTATACAATAAAATAAGAGTAAAAATGATAGAAAAATAGGTTACACCAAAACAAAGTATTCCCTTTATATATTACTAGCGTCCAGGGGGCACGCGAGAGGGGCACTCGCGTGTCCGTCTGTCTTTTTTTTAATGCACACATTAAAAATTAAATAATATTTTTTTAATATTAATTTTAAAGCTTTTTTAATGCACACATTAAAAATTAAATAATATTTTTTAATATTAATTTTAAATGGAAGTTATGTAGGAAGTTAATATTAAGAAGTTAGATAAGAAGTTAATAGTAAGAAGTTGTGTGAAAAATGATAATAGTAGTTTCAATGGAAGTTATTTTGTAAGTCATAATAAAGGATAAAATTGATTAAAAAAATATGCTACACTGAAACACCATGTTTTCCCGTCTGTCCGTTTTTTTAATACGCGTGAATGAAAATATAAACAATATTTTTTGTTTAAATAAAGATTTTAAAAAAATACAAATGTGAAAGTTAATAATAAGAAGTTATGTAGAAGTTAATAATAAGAAGTTATTAATAATAAAGTAAGGGTAAAAATAGAAGAAAAATAAGCCACACCAAAACAAAGTATTCCCTTTATATATTGAATAGCATTCAAATGGGCACGCCATTTGTCCGCTTTTTTTATTGCGCTAACGCGTGCAATTTTTTTAATGGTGTTTTTGACATATATTCCATTAAAAATAATATTACTTAGGAACAATTATAAAAAAATAAAAATATAATGATACATATTAACTTTAATATGTTTTAGTAATGTCTTCAGACCAATTTAATACTAAAAAAATATCTTCAGACCAATTTAACAATTCAAATGTCAACTTAAAATTAACTTAATAATCTAAAGAGTAGAATGTGAAAATTAAAACTTATCAATAAATTAAATGTTACATAAAATAATATTATTTACATAATTAAAAAAAATAAAAGTAAGAAGACAACCAATGTATATTGTTTAATGTCTTAAAATTTTAATAATATCACAATGTAGAAATCATACAAATTATAAATGGATATAAAATAACAAAAATAAAATATTCACATATTTTACAATAAAGAACATTAATAATCTTACTATTATTTTTCATGCTCGATCTTCTGTTCAATAAAAAAAAGACATATTTAAAAAAGAAAATAATGTGGTAGGTGTTATTTATTTTTGTAACTTACCCCTTTCTTATAACTTATCTGTGTATGTTGCCACTAATATATGTTTCCTCTCTCTCTTTTTCACTTTCTCTTCGTCTCTCTCTAACTCTTTTTTTATATCACTCATCAGTCTCTCTACCTCTCTATATATCCCAATCTCATTTGCACATGACATTTATTTGTTCCTCTTTCTTTGTTTTGTTAAGTAGCTAATAACTAGTTATCATTAAACAAAAAATCATGATGAAAACATAAACACTAATACATTCAATCTTTAAACGATATTCAACCCTTAATATCATTCATAGTCTTAGACTTGATATTATACAAAAAGAAAACTCTAAAGCCTATATTTACCATTACTGTAATTTTATTTGTGAAGGTGAGTCTTATAGATGACAAGATTAGAGATTAATCTCAATAACAACCTACACAATATAATTAAGTATCATATATTTTTTTTTTGGATATTTTAAAAATGATCAATTATTTGCTGATGCATTGATAAAAAAAATTAAATATATATAGTTGAAGTTTGTATTTCTGAGGAGTTGAATGGCGGTATAGTAAATGACTTGATAATTGGTAAAATATACAGTGATATACAATGGTTTGTAACAACTATAACTTTCTACCAAACCTTTTTTTATATATTTATACTGTAGGTAATCACAAAGACACATTGACAGTATACACAATTCACACAATTCAAAGATTCAATAATAATGGAAAGAATGACAAAATTGCATGTGAAAGAGAATTTAGATGAAATTAACAATTCATGAGAGAGAGAAAAATAACTTGCAAGTGAAAGAAAGATAATTGTTTAGGAAGTTAAAGATAAGGATGATAAAAAATTGTTAAAGTTTTAAATTGAGAATGAAACAATTATTATTTACTAAATTTATTTTGTATATGTGGTCTGTTTTAAAATAACAGTTAAAGGTCAAATATCTAACAAATATAGGTTAGTCCAAAATGTTATATTGTCTTTATCTATAGGTATAGATAAGTATAGATTAATGTTTACGTCACATTCTAGAAATTATACAATTTAAAAATTGAGATATTGTTTATATTTTAAAATTTTTGCAAATTACCCCGGTAAAATTGAAACAATAATAGATAAAGATTCCAGAGAGGAAACCAAAATTTAAAAAAATTAATAAAAATAGTCATTGTAATTTGATCTAGAAATTAGAACACACTTTTTTTTTCTTTCGTAAGAGATAATGATTCATTTTTCTTCTACAATAGAGAGAAAAATTAAAGTATTAGACATTAAAAAAAAATTCAATAATCTCAATTTTCAAACCTCAATTTCACATATGGATTTGTTTATGTAAAAAGAACAAAATAGTAAATGAAAATTAAAAAAAAAAAAACCAAATCAAGAAATTAGATTGAAGAATCTAAATGCCCTAATAATTAACTCTAACAGAAATCATTGTGTGATTCACAATCCATATTATGGCATCTGCAAATTGAAGATTTCTCTTTTCTACCATCATCATGAACATTGTCTGGATTCCAATTTTCCTCATGCAGTCTTTCTTCTTCTCTATTTTTTATTTCTATGGACTCAATCAGTTAGAAATGAAAGACATAACTTATAAGGAGAAGTTATTTAAATATAGTTTTTAATTAGAAGTTAAAGTGAGTTTTCTTTTCAAATAAATAATTACTTTGTACAATATTCAAATATAAAATGGAGAGAGTAGTTAATTTTTATTTGTGTAACTTCTAAGTAGTTTTAAAGAGTAAAAGAGGAAAGAAAATAGGCTAAACCAAAACAATGTATTGCCTTTATATATTGTGATAGATATAAATATAAGTAAATGTTGTGTCTTGCCACCCTCCCCTAAAGAATGTGATAAACGTCAATGTAGATGATAGTTCTATCAGTAATCCAGGGCGAATCCAACTTTGGTGGTCTTTTGATTAACTCTTCTGGTGGTTGGATCACGTGTTTTAGAAGAAGTTATGGTTTCACCACTAATATCAAGTCATTCTCATGATCTTGATATTGCTTGAAATCATGGTTTCAGAAATGTGATTTGCAAATATGACTATCAAATGACTCTGAAATTTATTAATAGAGTGTGCCTTATACTCATCCTTATGCAACTTTGATAGATTATATTCAATCTCTTACTCATAAAAAATGGCAACTTGTAATTATTCATACCTTACGTAAAAGGAATGTTAGTGTTGATTGACTTGCTAAATTAAGAGTCTCGCTTATTCAAAAATTGATAGTATTTTTTATTTATCCATCTTTTTTAATTAATATTTGCTTAGCAAACTCTATAGACAATAAATTCTCGATAGCATAATTTTTCATTATTTTCTTTTTTCATTGAGATAGATCTACAATTTATTAACTAGTACATGATTAAAAAAATTGAACAATATAAATAATTCATGATAATAATAAATGATAAAAGAAACACATTTTTTTTCTATATACATCTATATATTGGACAAAATAATTAATTTTATTATAATATTTTTTTAGTTAAAATAATTTTTAGTCCCAAAAATTGATGTGTTTTTTATTTTCATCGTTGAAATTTTTTTTTTGGAAATAGTTCCAAAATGTTAAAATCATATTGGTTTTAGTCTTAAAATTAAAATTTGTAAAAAATTTTGCAAATTTCCGATGAATTTTCATGGGATCTTAACTTTAAGAATTTAAACCAACATAATTTTAACATTTAAAAATTATTTCTAAAAAAATTCAAATATGAAAATTAAAAACACGCTTTATATGTGAATCAAAAAAACTATATATATATATATATATATATATATATATATATATATATATATATATATATATATATATATATATATATATATATATATATATATATATATATATATATGATTTCAAAAAAACTATATATAAACATGTTTAGAATATAAATGATTTTAAAATTGGTTTTTAATACAAACAAATTCTAAATTTTTTAAATAAAATACAAATCGATTTAACAACTAACTGATTTTGTTAATTAAAGTGGTGGGGGGTAAAAATTTTAAAGTTATTTTAAAATTAGTATTTTAATTATTTTTTTATAATTTAAATTTTAGATAAAGAGCTGTCTCATGATTTATTAAAATAAATATTTTATTCAATCTCATACCATTTGTTTTGTCCCATAGTTGCAATTAAATCCATAGATTTTATAATTAAAGCACTTTAAAAAATTGTTTTTTCCTAATCCGTTATTTTTTAAACAAATCAAATCATTTATATTATTTACTTTCTAAAATAATGTATTTTATTTAAGTTTTTAACATATATATTTGGATCACTTTTAGCATTTGCCTAATTCATAAACAAATCTTCAATCATTTCCTTTGGTAATTTGAAACAGGTTTTGAGTAACAAACGTACTTTTAATTATATAAATTAAATACCATTTATGATCATTAATGAGAACTTTAATACGCGGGAGAAAATTAAAATTCAGGACGACATTTTGCCACCCTACGAGTTTAGCTAATGCCCATATACTTCATAAATACCCTCTTCGTCTTCGTCAAGAAACAGTTCAGTCTATAAGAGAAAAAAAAAGCTTGTAAATCCCATTTCTTTTACACCCATGGTGACCACAAAAACTCATGCAGTTCTTCTAGCCAGCCCTGGTATGGGACACCTGTTTCCCACGGTCGAATTAGGTAAACGACTTACCACTCACCACGGTTTCGACGTCACCATCTTCGTCGTCATAGCCACCACCGATTCCTCCGACGCAACAAAATCATTACTTCAACAAACATCCAACATTAATGGCTTCAACATCATTGTTACACCTCCCGTCGACGTCTCCGACAAAATTGACCCTAGCGACTCACCCTTAAGTGCAAGAATCACTTTAACTATGATTGAATCCCTTCCTTTTATTCGATCCAAAATCTTATCCATGAAGTTTCCACCATCGGTTCTTATCGTGGATATCTTCGGTACTATGGCTTTACCCATGGCACGTGATCTACACATGTCTACCTACGTTTTCATTACCTCTAATGCTTGGTTTTCTGCGGTTACCATGTATCTTCCTTTCATCACCAATGAAGTGTTTTCAATGCATGTTAATGATCATAAACCGCTTTTGATTCCGGGTTGTGAACCGGTTCGGTTTGAGGATACACTGTTTCATTCCCCAAGTGGACCTACTCACGATGGTTTTGTTAGTGTTGCAAAGGAGATATTATCCGCTGATGGGATTTTGATGAACACGTGGCAAGATCTGGAGCCGGGAGCAACCAAGGCTGTTATTGATAATGAGATTTTAGGACGATTTGCGAAAGGACCGGTTTATCCGGTTGGACCGATTGTAAGAACAGTTGAACCGGAAGAGAAGAGTGAGAGTGAGAATGAGAATTTAATTTTAAGCTGGCTTGACCGACAACCGGCTGAATCGGTGATTTTTCTGTCGTTCGGGAGTGGTGGGACTCTGTCGGAAGTTCAGACGAGGGAATTGGCTTACGGGTTAGAGTTGAGTCAGCAGAGGTTTGTTTGGGTGGTGCGGCGGCCGTCGGAAGATGATGCATCTGCGGCGTTTTTTGAGGCGGGGAATGGTGGTGGTGGTTCGGCGGTGTTGGATTATTTGCCTGAGGGGTTTCTGAGTAGGACAAAGGAAGTTGGGTTATGTACCCCAACATGGGCCCCACAGACAAAGATTTTGAAACATCCCGCGACGGGTGGTTTCGTGACGCACTGCGGTTGGAATTCTGTGTTGGAAAGTATCCTTAGAGGTGTTCCAATGGTTGCGTGGCCGCTATATGCAGAGCAAAAGATGAATGCTACTCTGCTGTCTGATGAGCTTGGAGTGGCGGTGCGGGCGACGGCGACGGAGGGAGGTGTTATTTTAAGGGAACATATCGCGGATGTGATTAGAAGAGTGATGGTGGATGAAGAAGGCATAGCTATGAGGGTTAAAGTTAAGGAGTATAAGGTAAGTGGAGAGAAAGCTCTGTCTATGATTGGTTCTTCTCATGAGTGGCTTTGTCAGATGGCCAAAGAATGTCAAGTTCATGAGACGTTAGCTCGTAATGCTTAGGCTATAATTAAGTCGGGTGTTTTTAAGCTAGTTTCCTCTTGGATCTTTCATCAACTTAATATAATTTTTTTAATAAAGATAATGTATTGAATAAAACAAAAATAAATAAATAAAGATGAGGAAACATCAATTTAATATAAGACACTATTTAACATATTATATTTGTTGATAATTTATGTAGTTTTACAAATATATATTTTAAAAAGGGAATTAAATAACATTTTGTAAAATTATTTATTACAAAATGTATATGAAAATTTAAATGAAATTACATTAAAATAGTAACTTTTCTAGAAAATTTTATATTTACACATAAATACTTATTCTTAGCAAATATATATATAAACTGTTATTATTTTAATCTTTATCATAATATATATTTTTAAAAACAAAAATTCCAAAGGCTTAATTAATTAAAGAAAATTTTATCTCATATCTCTACATTAGCATTTTTTAAAATATTTTAATTATACTCTTTTTTATTTATCAAATAATTTTATTATTTAATATTTATTATTTTTTTATATTTATTTTTCTTTACCAAATAACTTGTAATCAAGTTTTCTGATATGTATTATTTCTTCATTAAGTTTTTCTATAGGTATTTTTTCTTCACCAAATAACTTAGCAATCAAATTTTCTGGTAAGGAATTTTTTTTCCAACAAATAATTTGCAATCAAGTTTTCTGGTATGCAATTTTTCTTCACCGGTTAAATTACATATCGGAAAACTTGATTGCAAGTTTTTTTTTTTGATAATCAGATAAAATTAAAGGAGATTAAGGAAATCTCAAACCATGATACAAATTACAAAAAGTCAAAGGGGAATTTGAACCAATCGTACAGACAACACGGTTTACTCCCCTTCCTACCTAGAATCAACAATTTCCAAGAGTTAAGCTTAATGTCAAAAACAATACTTTCGACCTCAGTAACTACATTATTGAAGAAACAATTATTTCTAGATCTCCAAATAGTCCAGCAAGTAATAAACCAAAGCGAATTAACTCTATTCACTTGACACCTACCTTTAAGGCTCGAGTTCCACACCTTAGCGTGAGAAAAACAGAAAAACAGATATTCACAGATCTTGATCCAAACCCGATTAGATTTATAACAAGAGAAGAAAAGATGGGATACATCCTCCATGCTACTAGAACAAAAAACACAATCCAAATCTTGATCGGATTCAAGCACTCTTCTCTTCAATAAATTAGATCTCGTAGGCAATCTATCAAGCGCCAACCTCCAGCTGAACGTTTGCACTTTTGCCGGAATATCCGTCTTCCAAATGGACTCAATAAGGGAAGCACAATCTGAGCCAACGTCTTGGTCAGATAAGGAGGGATATAGGACAGAATAAAAGGAACTAACCTTGAAAGATTGAGATTCATGGAGACTCCACCGCCATTTGTCGGTTGTACCCGGCTTAACTGAGGTATTTTCCAGCAACTTACAGCAGTCAGACCAATCTGGTTCAGGGGGGTTATCTGAATCCAACAACGAGTTTCTCAAATTCCAATTCCACTGCCCATCCCCCCAGTATCCCATATCACGGACTGACCCTAACTTTAGAGAGCAACTCTGGTACAAATCATTAAATCTGACTTGTAATGGCACTTCACCGATCCAAACAGACAGCCAAAACGCCGCTTCGGAACCTTTACCAACGGAGCATGTCGTGTACTTGCAGAAATTGGCATTAGGATTTAGAGACGCATTGTTCATAATATCCTTCATCCACAATGAATCAGACTTTGAACTCACAACAACGGAATAAGTTTGCGTCTTAATGCTAAGGTTACCGTACCTGAAAGTGAGGGTGTTCCTCCAAATTTCATTATCGCCAGTTTGAAACCTCCGAAGCCACTTTGCCAACAAAGCGCAGTTGAACCGACCCACATGCTTAATACCCAGACCGCCATCTTCCTTAGATTTACAAACAGTATTCCAAGAGACCCAAGGAATAGAAGATTTGCTCGAGTTTCCAGCCCATAAGAACCGTCGTTGGATCGCTATGATATCCTTCACAACCTTAATAGGAGCGTTGAAAAAAGCCAGATAGTGTATAGGCAGATTTGCAAGAACCGAATTAATGAGGGTTACACGACCCCCCATTGATAAGTTTCTCCCATTCTAGGTGGATAATTTATTCTTCAAATTCAGCAGAACCGGCTTCCAAAAAGAATATCTACGATGGTTACCTCCAACAGTGATACCAAGGAAGCTAAAAGGTAACTTTCCCGATTTACAATGAAGAAAATCTTCGGCAGCCACTAATAATTCAGGATCAGTATGAATCCCGTACAAACAGCTTTTGGAATAATTAATTTTGAGGCCAGATATTATCTCGAAAGCCCTAAGAACAACCTTGAAGGCCCAAATATTTGCCGCCGACCCGTCTCCAATGAGAAGAGTATCATCAGCAAATTGGAGAATACTCGTCGTTGGTTGACCATGAATCAAGAATTGGGATAACATATTACTATCAACCGCTGATTTCACCAAACTTGACAGACCTTCAGCAACTATTGCGAACAGGAAAGGAGCGAGAGGGTCGCCCTGCTTCAGACCCCTGCCAGTCCTAAAATCCTTCGACGTACTGCCATTGATGAGAATGGAGACAAAGCTATTTAAAACAGAGCCACGTATCCATTTCATCCACTTTGTTCCAAACCCCATCTTAACAAGAAGAGCATCTAAATAGAACCAATCCACACAGTCATAAGCTTTCGCGAAATCTACTTTGAAGAAAAAACAACCCATCTTGGATCTCTTTGCAAAATCAGCCACCTCGTTAGCTAACAGAACACCGTCATATATCTGTCGTTCCGGGATGAACGCAGTTTGAGAAGGAGAAATAATTTTGTGGATAACCTTCCTAAGCTTGGACGCGAGCATCTTTGAGATAACCTTCAGCACACAACTAACAAGAGTAATAGGTCTAAAATCTTCGAAATGTTGTGGATTTTTAGTTTTCGGAACAAGTGAGATGAAAGAAGAAGCGAAGGATTTCGGAAGGTAACCAGTGTTGAAGAATTCCAAGATGCAATTCGAGAAATCTTCGCCCAGAATCTCCCAGCAAGATTTAATAAAAGAGAAGTTAAAGCCATTGGTACCGGGGCATTTGTTTCCGTCACAACTGAAAACAGCAGATCTGACTTCTGCAGGACTGAAGTCAGCTTCCAGGCAATTCCTGTCTTCCTCAGCTAAACAAACAATATGATCGAAATCGAATGTGAACTTTGGCGATGAATTAGACTTGAATTTATTTGGTGAAGAAAAAGTATATACCGAAAAACTTGATTGCAAATTATTTGGTGAAGAAAACATACATACCAAAAAACTTGATTGCAAGTTATTTGGTGAAGAAAAAATACACACCGTGAAACTTGATTGCAAGTTATTTGGTGAAGAAAAAAATACATAACGGAAAACTTGATTGTAAGTTATTTCGTGAAGAAAAAATGCATACCGGAAAACTTAGATTGCAAGTTATTTGGTGAAGAAAAAATACATAGCGGAAAACTTGATTGCAAATTATTTGGTGAAGGAAAAGTACATACCAAAAAATAATAAATATTAAATAATAAAATTATTTGATAACTGAAATAGGTAGAATTGAAATATTTTTAAAAATGTAGGGGTGGGGGACAATGGTAGAGGTATTAGGTAAAATTTTCTTAATTAAATTGATATCATTTATGGTCTCTTTAGCCCTATAATGGGCCAACCCATTACAATTTCTACCGATATAAGTTATGCTAACATAATCAAAGCACGTTACAGTTTCATTAATGTTGTTGACCACACGACTGAGATTGCTTCTTTCCCTTTTGTCTTCTTCATTCATGTATCGCTTGATTTTTTCTACAACATCCTTAAAATCATATTAGACATCAACCACGTGGCCTTTTTGACCATAATTTTTCGACACTGTTTCATTTTTGCTAACGTCATCGTAATCATTGCACTTTTTGCAGCGCATTGTCACTTTCTAGATATTCACTCAGAATCTCATCATCACTCATCATTCCTACTTTTTAGAAAGACGTGGGTTTCCATGTTTTGCAGTAACTGCTCCCACTCCTTATTAATGCTTGCATCGGAACCACACATAATCTCTTCAATCACTCTCACGCCGTTGTTAGGTGTTGCATTTGGGACATGCACTGATGGATATAAATAATTCTCCTCAGCTCTTCACTTTCTTTTCTCTACTTCGTTTTCTTGTAATATGTCTTCTTCGCAAAAAACCTCAAACCCTATTTTTCCATTTATGTTCCAGAAAAACCTTTTTCCATCACCTTGACTAAAAGCAAGGCTCACTTCAAACTCTCTAATGGTAACAATCCCTTGGCTTTCGTTATCCCCCTTTAGAAAGCGAATAGGTGAATGATTTCATTCTTGAACCTTCCTCTAATAACAACAAAATCGTCGTTTGACAGAAATAAATGGTGTTCCCCTACTCCATGAATGACCAGCTTTACGCCTTTTTTGGGTCGTATTCTACCAAGCGGTCCTAAGCTTCAACGGTTTCCCACCTTTTTCTAGGTTACCTCCATACCATGCCTGTTGCGTTTGAACGACAGGCTATTGATCTGTCCTTTATGGTCAAGACTAATCGCGTCTTTCAATCTGCTCCACTGGTTCCCACAAAAGAATATCTGGCGTGGCTCGACAAGGTCCAAGCCAAGAAGAAAACACATTGGGAAAACATATGCATCTATGACATGGTTAATTTGTCTAGAACTGGCCCTAAGGACAATCCTTGCATGTTGTTAGCCTCATTCTTCTTTTGGGAGGGATCAACGAACACTTTCCAATTCCCTTGTGGTATGTTGACGTCAACACTATTCAAAGTTGCTTCCATCATATGTTTAAATCCTGTCGGTGCCACTTTTTGTTCGACATTGGAAACTCCACACGAGTTCACCATTGGGCGCCCCACTTACAAATTTTTTATCCAAAATCACCACGACACTGTTAGCCCAGATGTC